AGACAGTACAAATTTCTGATCCTCTTGGTGATAAGTTTGATTTTTTTAGAACATACCCCGTGGGCACCTTAGGTAGTCCACAGGGGCTAGCAGGGTCCCCCAGAGACCATGTTGGTGACTCTTGGTCCAGTGGCTGGTTGGGAGACAGATCAGTTAGTCTGTACCGTACCGATATACGCAGCTGTAAAATAACATAAGTGGCGTTTACCAAAACGGCTGTAAATGTCTCAGGACCCTACAAGATAACGTTAAGAATTCTTACAGATATTACGTAATTATGGTAAGATCAGGCAGATAATATTTATATATATCATTTTTTGACCATATCGCCTCTATGATGATTTACAAAAAAAAAAAACTTTGCGCTACCCTTGATACATTTAGATGATAATTAGTCACTCTTCACACGTTAGCAGGCTCCAGTGCTGGTGTTTGTCTTGACCTCTATGATGATTTACAAAAAAAAAAACTTTGGCCTACCCTTGATACATATAGATGATAATTAGTGCCTCTTCACACGTTAGCCGGCTCCAGTGCTGGTGTTTGTCTTGCTACAAGCTCGCCTCACTTCTCCACACTTGACTGCACACCTCCTGTAGAAAATTGGCCCCGGGGATTTTAAGCCAGGAGTGTTGTTTTGGTACAGCGGAGCAGAGCAGTTCATCATCTTATCTGTCTATACTGGAGGTGAACTATCTGGGTTAGCTGAAGCTGTCAGTGCCGATGTTATCAACACCGGGTGGAAAAGAAACCACTATTTTTGGAATTTCTGCAGAGATAAATAAATTAAAAAAAGTAATGTGCAGAGATAGTTTTTTCTTTATCGCACCTTGTTGACTTGCTGGAATCCCCAACCCATTTGAAATCTATTTAAGAACAATGATGCTGTATGTGATTAGTTGTGCTCCTGCTCTGTAGATAAGAGAGTGCACCATACGTGTGTGTGTGTGTGTGTGTTGATAATGAACTGTGGGTTTAAAGGGTTTGATAATCTTGGTTCAAGAGGCACAGCAGCACTGTAGGATTATGAATTAAAACCCTCTAACGGTACTTCAAATAAAGTTTGTCTCTTGGTCGGTGTTCCTGATGCTAAATTTTCGTGCTACGTTAAGGTAGCTATAAATTGTCTATTGTGCTTTGACAATGAACTTTGTGTTTTTGAATTTCAACACATCATAATAAATGTCACCGTGTCATCCGTTCTTCATGGCTGAACTCTGTCACCGCCGGGTTAATGGGCACCACTACTCATGTTTGGGAGTTCTAGGGTTGTGTATTGGCAAGAATCGGGCGATACGATACATAGCACCACGATACGTATCACCACGATACCCGATACGTATCACCACGATACGTATCACCATGATACGATACTAATGGCACGACGATATGTTGAGTTTCTTTTTTTAAAACAATTTAATTGTAGTAATAAAAAAATCTATACAGTGCTGTAGAATATATAGGTACAGTATCGTGAGTTGAAATATTGCGAATATTTCAATGTATCGCCATATTTGTTTTTTCACCCCTAGAGAGTTCACTCAGGAGTTAGTGATTTCTGTCAGTCCTTGTACGTATGTGACTTCACACATATTTTTTTCACACTGGTAGATTGTCTCTGTAGATTATTTTCACATCAACTGTTGAGGATGTCATTTTTTTTGTGGTTTAATTATGGGTGTTTTTTTTTTTACACCCTACTGATACATCATAACCAGAAGTTGAAGTACTTAGAAATATGTGCCTTTTTTTTTTTTTTTTTTTTTTTAATACAAAGATTCTGTACAAACCAGTGGAGTGGCTCAACTTACACCAAGTCCTGAAGTTGGCAGCAGGGTGATCTGTCGTCATCCTCTGTCCTTAGCTTTAAAATGTAACCTTCATCTTTAACTATATTGTTAGTCCATGTTCTTTATGGAATATTGTGGTATCATTTATGGTAAACTTTCAATTCTGTATCACTCTGCCTGGACTGGTTAGTGAGTGGCAGAGGGGTGAGTAAGTGAAGCACTTTGACTCTTTGCAAAACTGTTATCTGTCAAATGGGGAAGAAGTGGAAAGTCATTTGTGCAACGGCGATTGTAAGATTGTAACTTTATCCTAAACTGACAGTCAGCACAACGGGCAACATGATACGGATGCATACTCAGAAGTGAGTTAGTACTATATTTAACTCCGGTTTTTGCCAGCTCACGGTAATAAGATAAAAAAAAAAGAACAAATCATCGCTGTGAACGTAGCATTAACACAATTCAGATGTAACACACGTTTGGACTGAAGCGCAGACGATGAGTTTTTATTGTTGTGTTCTGTTAATAAACAACCGTCTTTAGTCTCTTTAAAGATGTAAATGACATTTTCCTTCTTCTGCCTCCTACAGATATCTACGACAAGAGTGACCTGAAGGCGTTCTTCGAAAGCAACTGTTCTCAGATTTATTTTATCTTCTATGAAAATTTCATTACACTGGAAAGCAACCTTAAACAAAAAGGTGAGCAAAGACAATTTTGTTGACTGTCAAACTACACCACTACTAAAACCATAACATGCTGCGTGTGTTTTTTTAATAGAACAAAACAAAACAAAAAGCCAAATTAATAAAAAAATGCTTTAACATTAAACTCAAAGTCCAAAAGTCTGTCACTTTTTTCTGACCTAACATGCAAATATTCAGCACGACAGGCGTCAACAGGCTGACGACAGGCGTGCAAATGTAATGACCTAGTGAAATAGCGATTCACATCATGTGGTCAGGTCATGTGCAGTTTCCCTTTTTCTTTAGACTCCCTGGTGTTTGATAAAGCTTTGATGGACGGACAGTTTGGTCAAAACAATGAGCATTTTTTTCAGTCATTTTTCCCAACAGTCTGTCTGCAGTAGTCTCTCTGAAACAGCTGTACATCCTCTGTCCTTCCTTTTACAATGACGTTAATGCGAAAAAAAAAAGAAAAAAAAAGAGGAAACATTTAGGTTTTGGTTCCTAACCGTAATGTGCACAAACCTCTAAGCATGTGATTTAAACTCAAATCCATCATTTATTAATTTGTCAGAATAGAATATTTACTCATCATAAAAATTAAGTAAAACATGTGGCAAACTCATTTTGCCTCCAAATTGCTACCAAATTAGTGTAGGTCACATGTGTCAAACTTATGGTGCGCAGGCCAAATGCGGCACGCCAAGCTTCAGTAGCTTTCAATGGCCTTATAATAAAGTCCATGCTAATCCATGAGTTTCTTACCCTGATAAATTAAAAAAAAAATTGGTAATGTTTAGTAATCAGTACTACGTTACCCACGTCAATGCAAAAATGTTCTTTTGGGGAAATTAAACTACAAAATTTAAGATTATATATATATATGTATATATGTGTATATATGTATATACATGTATATATGTATACATATGTGTATATATCTATATCTATATATTCTATAAAACTGTATAGAATTTTTATTAAGAGTTGACACGCAGATATTCATGGCATTGGTTCATTTTTTGTTTTTATTCTTTCTCTAGTGATTACAAATGAAGATCCCTGTAGTTTTTAATAACCTGATGTTGAGCATGAAACAGCATAGTGTTTACTACGATTACAGTTTTACTACAATTAAATTGTTTTGAAAAAAAAAAAACCCTCAATATATCGCCGTGCCTATAGTATCCCAATATATTGCAAAAGATCGTATTGTTACCCCTGTATCACGATACGTATCGTCTTGCCAGATTCTCGTCAATACACGGCCCTAATTGATAATAATGAGGCCACATTCCTGATGTGAGTCAATGATGACACTGTAGTGTTTGTGACTTCTTCTTCTCTGGCTCCACATGAGCGTCACTACAGCTCTATCCAAGCAGAAGGCGTGATTTGCGGTCTGAAGCCCTGCAGACTCAGAGACTTGACCTTGTTCTAACAGCATTTCAAAGTCCTTTAAGAGCAGTTTAAAAATTAATCATCTCCCTGTTCTGTCTAGTCTGTGCCGCTGCAAGTTTTTCTTCGACCTCTGTCTGGTGTGTACAGAGAAACAAGTATCAGTTACAGAGGAAACGATTTCTGCTTATAATCACAAAAATGTGTATATATGTATATATATGTGTATATGTATATATGTATGTGTATATATGTATATATGTATGTATATGTGTATATATGTGT